GTCTGTATTTGTATGTGTTCAGATCCGGCAGTATCAGTGACGCTAGCAGAAAGGAGCTAGTCGGAAATGTATTTATGTATCGTCCTGTATCTGAGCAGTCGTCTCAGAGGACTTTACAAAGTTGTCAATTCCTCACCAACAGATCAGAGAATCAAACAGTTCAACACATATGAACAATAACAAAGCCATTGAGTCATAGGGAGCAGGAAGCGATACCTTTCAAAGACTTAGATTGAGGCTGCAGTACCACAGGTGGCCTCTAGTCCATGTGGATCTAAGCTGCAGTACCATGGGTGGCCTCTAGTCCATGTGGATCTAAGCTGCAGTACCACAGGTGGCCTCTAGTCCATGTGGATCTAAGCTGCAGTACCATGGGTGGCCTCTAGTCCATGTGGATCTAAGCTGCAGTACCACAGGTGGCCTCTAGTCCATGTGGATCTAAGCTGCAGTACCATGGGTGGCCTCTAGTCCATGTGGATCTAAGCTGCAGTACCACAGGTGGCCTCTAGTTCATGTGGATCTAAGCTGCAGTACCGCAGGTGTAGTTCATGTGGATCTAAGCTGCAGTACCACAGGTGGCCTCTAGTCCATGTGTATTCAGGCTGCAGTACCACAGGTGGCCTCTAGTCCATGTGGATCTAAGCTGCAGTACCACAGGTGGCCTCTAGTCCATGTGGATCTAAGCTGCAGTACCACAGGTGGCCTCTAGTCCATGTGGATCTAAGCTGCAGTACCACAGGTGGCCTCTAGTCCATGTGGATCTAAGCTGCAGTACCACAGGTGGCCTCTAGTTCATGTGGATCTAAGCTGCAGTACCATGGGTGGCCTCTAGTCCATGTGGATCTAAGCTGCAGTACCATGGGTGGCCTCTAGTCCATGTGGATCTAAGCTGCAGTACCACAGGTGGCCTCTAGTCCATGTGGATCTAAGCTGCAGTACCACAGGTGGCCTCTAGTCCATGTGGATCTAAGCTGCAGTACCATGGGTGGCCTCTACTCCATGTGGAACTAAGCTGCAGTACCACAGGTGGCCTCTAGTCCATGTGGATCTAAGCTGCAGTACCACAGGTGGCCTCTAGTCCATGTGGATCTAAGCTGCAGTACCATGGGTGGCCTCTAGTCCATGTGGATCTAAGCTGCAGTACCATGGGTGGCCTCTAGTCCATGTGGATCTAAGCTGCAGTACCACAGGTGGCCTCTAGTCCATGTGGATCTAAGCTGCAGTACCATGGGTGGCCTCTAGTCCATGTGGATCTAAGCTGCAGTACCATGGGTGGCCTCTAGTCCATGTGGATCTAAGCTGCAGTACCACAGGTGGCCTCTAGTCCATGTGGATCTAAGCTGCAGTACCATGGGTGGCCTCTAGTCCATGTGGATCTAAGCTGCAGTACCACAGGTGGCCTCTAGTTCATGTGGATCTAAGCTGCAGTACCATGGGTGGCCTCTAGTCCATGTGGATCTAAGCTGCAGTACCATGGGTGGCCTCTAGTCCATGTGGATCTAAGCTGCAGTACCACAGGTGGCCTCTAGTCCATGTAGGGTCAAGAATTAAACAAAACCTGGGTAATATTAAAACATATCAGTAACTCATAAGCTACAGTTAGTTTGTATTTATATATTTGGGGAAAGTGACTTCAAAGATTTATAGAAACACATCACTGAAGTAACTCATAATCTGTTTTTGGAGTAACTCTCCCGACACTGATCCTGATTGGTCGAAATAAATTTGAATCCTTGAGGCCTCTTGTCATTGGCTGGTCTGCTCTCCTCCAGCTCAGTTCTGACAATCGATGAAAATCATAAATATAGAGTTTTGAAGCTAAAACAGTTTATGACATCACCTTCAACACAGTTTAGTCATTTATATATTTATTATGTTTTAAACTCAGATCTATAAACACACACACACAGACACACACACTAAGACACACAGACACACACACACACACTAAGACACACATACACACACACACACTAAGACACACACACACTAAGACACACACACACACACAGACACACAGACACACACACTAAGACACACACACACACACACTAAGACACACCCACACACACTAAGACACACACACTAAGACACACAGACACACACACTAAGACACACACACTAAGACACACACACACAGACACACTAAGACACACACACTAAGACACACACACTAAGACACACACACACAGACACACTAAGACACACACACTAAGACACACACACAGACACACACACACACACACTAAGACACACATACACACACACACACACTAAGACACACACACACACACTAAGACACACACACACTAAGACACACACACACACACACACTAAGACACACATACACACACACAGACACACACACACACACACACTAAGACACACACACACACAGACACACACACACAGACACACACACACTAAGACAGACACACACACACACACTAAGACACACACACACACACAGACACACACACACACACTAAGACACACAGACACACACACTAAGACACACACAAAGACACACACACAGACACACAAACACAGACAGACACACACACAAAGACACACACACACAGACACACACAGACACACAAACACAGACAGACACACACACAAAGACACAGACACACATACACACACAGACACACAAACACAGACAGACACACACACTAAGACACACACACACACAGACACACACACTAAGACACACACACACACAAAGACACACACACAGACACACAGACACACACACAAAGACACACACACACAGACAGACACATACACACACACAGACACACATACACACACAGACACACAAACACAGACAGACACACACACAAAGACACACACACACAGACACACACACATGCCAACATACACACACACAGACACACACATACACACACACACAGAAGTATAAACAGCAATCTGGGCCCGCTGTGAGCTTATGTCAGGAAGCCGCACAGCAGGACGTGAAATAGTGAGTCCCAACATCCATCTGACCACACACAAACATACACACACATGTACATACACACACACACACACACATGTAGTACATACACACACACACACATGTAGTACATACACACACACACACATGTAGTACATACACACACAAATGCATATACACACACACATACATATATTCACACCTACACACTCTTATACACGTATACACACGCACACACACACACGCCCACATACATACATATACACAACTTCACACACACAATTACATACACAGCCACATACACATCCATATTATTTTCACTGTGTTGTGTATCCTTCCACTTCTCACAATAGCTGGCTGGAATTCTGGCTCATTCCTCCAGACAGAACAGGTGAAGCTACGTTTTTTTATTGACTGACACACAAAGACACACTAGCTAACACATGCGCACACACATGGCGGCACGGTGGCTGAGTGGATAGCACTCTCGCCTCTCAGCAAGAAGGTCCTGGGTTCGAATCCCGGTCGGACCAGGGCCTTTCTGAGTGGAGTTTGCATGTTCTCCCCGTGTCTGCGTAGGTTTCCTCCGGGTACTCCGGTTTCCCCTACCACTAAAAATATGTCCAATAGTTCTGGCATGCGCTTCATGTACTGGCGACCCTGCTCCCATCTCTGTGGTGAGTGAGAGACAAATGCCCAAAAATTAACAATTGTAAACCGCTTTGAGACTCAGATCTGCAGTGAAAAGGCGGTATATAAATAAAAACTAACTTACTTACTTACTTACTTACACACATTGCCTTTACGGGGACTTTACACTGTTACATTGAAAACATGCATCCATCTCACATATGAGGTTTTGGGTTTGCTTCCACCAGCTTCGCACAATACATTCGGCTGGAATTCAGGCCTGTTCCTCCCTGGTTTGTAGACTGACACGCACACACATACATGTTTTCCTGCCTTTGTGGGGACATAATACTGTTACATTCAAAACACGCTTCACATACATACGTTATGGATATGTTTGCTCAAGCTTCTCTCAATATAGTCTGCTGGAATTCTGGCCCACTCCTCCCAACAGAACTGGTGTGAGTCAGGTTTGTAGGTCAACTCGCTCGCACATGTGTTTGGAGATCTGCCGACATTGTTTCTATGGGATTGAGTGAAACAAGGACTCAGTTGTCAACGCTGTAAAGTAGTTCTGTCAGTTCATCTTTTTGTGCTTGTGTTTTGAGTTTACAAACATTATTTAAAACCGTTATATTAGTTTTATGACATTGTTTTTTTGTACATGACCATTTTGTAAAAGAAACTCCAACAACTTTATTTATCTTTATTGAATTATCAAATGGTCCAGGAATCGATAATTATTCTGTCTTGTGTTGTTCAGCACCATGGGCTCAATGCACGCACTACTTCAGCGTTTTAGCTAAAGCCCCACCTCACTTCCTGTTCGCGGGGAACGGCTTGAGTTTCACTGGAGTTCAGTGGTTTACACGAGTTTCCCAAATAATGCTCAAACGGGAATTAAACTGTGTGGATACTGGGCATTTTTGGGACACAACAGTGCTCTTTGATTGTGCTGTCATTGTGTTTATAAAGTTTAAAAATCTCTCTGAGTGGCCACAGTCACAGCTCTACCTCAGAGAGAAAGCACAGCGACACTTTTGGGGCAGTCTCAGCTGAATGTATCGATCTAATTACTAAAAAACGTCACTAAAACCCACCTAAAAGCCGTAAGATAGCATAGACAGGAAATGAACTGGCTGTGTTTTGTTAACAGGAAATTACGTCACACCTCCCCGTGCATACAGACCATTGTTTGCCTTGTGTATGAACTGTGCCATACAAATAATCTTACCTTTTCCTTTCCAATTGCAAAGGCTAAACCTGCAGCCCTTTCTCTCTCAGAGGCTTTCGCTCCTAAAACCATAAACCTGTGATTCCCTTTTGGAGCACATAAAGAATCCGTCAGTCCTGGTCCTGCACAAACGTTAGCTTTGCCTTTGTGTCGTGGAGCTGCAGGGAATGAGGATCCATGAACATGAAGCACCACTGCTCCCAGGCGCCCTCTGCTGGAGGACACCGGTATTTATCTGAACAGAGACAGACTTTATTATTAAATGTTTATTATATTTTTATTTTTGGCTGAAAAACGTGTGCCTTTGACTCACATTCTAAACTCTTCATGTGTTATGTGAAATAACGTCTTAGGTAGAAAACCTATAGTGAACCCAGAATCAAGGGTAAACACACACACATATAGAGACACAAACACACACACACTGATACACACACACATATAGAGACACAAACACACACACTGATACACACACACATATAGAGACACAAACACACACACACACACACTGATACACACACACACACACACACACACACTGATACACACACACATATAGAGACACAAAAACACGCACTGATACACACACAGAGACACATAGAGACACACATAGAGACACACAAATAGAGATACACACACACACATACACACTGATACACACACAAATAGAGACACACACACACAGATACACACACACACAAATAGAGACACACACACACATACACACTGATACACACACATATGGAGACACAAACACACACACATACATACTGTTACACACACACATACACATATAGAGATACACTGATACTCGCACACACACACAAATAGAGACACACACACACACATACACACACACACACATACATACTGTTACACACACACATACACATATAGAGATACACTGATACACGCACACACACATGTAGCTATAAACAAGAATAAATACAGTATGACAGAAAAACTTTCATCCTAGAACACACACACACATACACACACGACAGACATACACACACACACACACTCGCACAGTTATTGCTGGCGAGTGTACATGTGCCTCTGTGGCGTGCAGGTTGACCTCTGACCTCGTGTCCAGGGGTCAGTCTGGGTCTGGGCCAGTCCTGTTGTCGTGGAAACGGGACCGGAGTCAGCGGACGGTCAGCACTGGGTTCAGGGGCCGGTCAGAGACTATAGTGACCACTGAGGGCCTCTGTGTGTGTGTGTCTGTGCCTGTGTGTGCGTATTACTGTGTGTGTGTGTGTGTGTGTGTGTGCGTGTATTACTGTGTGTGTGTGTATTAATGTGTGTGTGTGTATTACTGTGTGTATGTGTGTGCATGCGTGCGTTTGTGTGCGTGCGTGTATTACTGTGTGTGTGTGTGTGTGTGTATTACTGTGTGTATGTGTGTGCATGCGTGCGTGTGTGCGTGTATTACTGTGTGTGTGTGCGTGTGTATTACTGTGTGTATTATTGTATGTGTGTGAATGCGTGCGTGTGTGTGCGTATTACTGTGTGTGTGTGTGTGTGCGTGCGTGTATTACTGTGTGTGTGTGTGTATTAATGTGTGTGTGTATTACTGTGTGTATGTGTGTGCATGCGTGCGTTTGTGTGCGTGCGTGTATTACTGTGTGTGTGTGTATTACTGTGTGTGTGTGCGTGTGTATTACTGTGTGTATGTGTGTATTAATGTGTGTGTGTGTGTGTGTATTACTGTGTGTATGTGTGTGCATGCGTGCGTGTGTGCGTGTATTACTGTGTGTGTGTGCGTGTGTATTACTGTGTGTATTATTGTATGTGTGTGAATGCGTGCGTGTGTGTGCGTATTACTGTGTGTGTGTGTGTATTACTGTGTGTGTGTGTCTGTGTATTAATGTGTGTATTACTGTGTGTGTTTGTGTGTGTGTGTGTGTGTGTATTACTGTGTGTGTGTGTTTGTGTGTGTGTGTGCGTGTTTGTGTGTGTATGTATTCCAAGCCTCTACTCTACTCTACTCTCCCCTGATTGGTTGTGTTCCCTATGGTCCTGTGTAACCAGTCCCAGGCCCTTGTTTAGTCCCTCTTGGTCCTGGTTCTATCCAGGCCGAGCTGGTCCTAAAACTAACCGAGATTGGCCAGAGGTTACCAAGTTATTTACCCGGATACTGGTTTGTGGGTGAACGCTATGATACACTACCAGATACTAAAGTATAATGGAAACACAACCAGGTAGAGTAGAGCCGAGTAGAGCCGCGTAGAGCCGAGTAGAGCCGAGTAGAGCCGAGTAGAGCCGAGTAGAGCCGAGTAGAGCCGCGTAGAGCCGAGTAGAGCCGAGTAGAGCCGAGTAGAGCCGAGTAGAGCCGAGTAGAGCCGAGTAGAGCCGAGTAGAGCCGAGTAGAGCCGTGGTATGAATTAGCTGCTCACTTCCTAACCTGGATGCCCTCCCACTCTCTCAAACCTGTGACTTACTTAAAAAAGACGAGACCAACCTCTCTAAAGCAGAAGTAAATCTCTGACCTGGCCTTGGCCCCGCAGATCCGTGTTGTGGCCCGGCCTTCACCCGTGACCTCTGACCTCTGAGGGTTCACCCAGGGGCCCGCTCCCACACGCAGGGGCCCCGGGGGTCAGGAGGCAGGCCCCAGTACTGCAGCTGTCACAGGCTGTAAGTGCAGTCCAGTCTTTGTGCACTTTAGATACTTTATGGTCCATAGATTTCAATGAGAGGGTTGTAACAGAAGCTAATGCTCAATGTGTCCCTTCAGCAGCAGGAGGTCGGGGGTTTGAATCCCACCTCCTCACAGCGGCCTCTACAGAGGACTTTCCTGTGTTTCTCTGATCTGTTGTTATAGAATCGACAGTTTTGTGAAGTCCTGAGATATCTGCTGTTATGTTTTAGGGCGATACTAAAATACATTTAAATGAAATGAATTACTGAGAAAACCATAATATTTAATTAAACATAAAAATACTAAAGACACAGATTATTTTAATCCACCTTTAACTATAAACTTTTCAATAATAAATAATATTGAAATACAGCATTGGTACATTGTAGGGTGTGTCAGCTCCTACACACACACACACACACAGACACACACACAGACACACACACACACACACAGACACACACACACGCACACACACATATACACACACACACACACACACACAGACACACACACACTCACACACACACACACACACAGACACACACACACACAGACACACACACACACACACACACACAGACACACACACACACACACACACACACACACACACACACACACACACACACACACACACACGCACGCACACACACACACACACACACAGACACACGCACACACACACACACACACACACAGACACACACACAGACACACGCACAGACACACACACACACACACGCACACAGACACACACACACACACAGACACACACACAGACACACACACACACACACACACACGCACACACACACCACAGACACACACACACGCACATATACACACAAACATAACCTTGTTTAGGTCCAAAAATAAATAAAATAAATAAATGAATAATAATATTAATAAAAATACTGATAATAAGTAAGTAATGTTTATTTACATTGAGCCAGACCAGAGTCACAAACAGCTTTGCAAATGTTATGGGCCTTTATCTCCCACTCCACACAGATAATAGTAATAATGATAATAATAATAATAGTAATAATATTAATAATTGTGAAAACATGAATAAATAAATAAAAAAGGAGAGAGAATATCAGAAACAATTATAATTACATCTATTTTTATATTTAAAAAGATGTGTGTTTGTCATTGGGGTAAAATTTGGAAATTAACAATCAGCTAAAGCTAATTAACACATTATACACAATTATCAACAAATAATTCAAAATGTGAAATGAAATTGGAAATCAGCTTTTTATAAATTCTCGATTAATTTTTGTTTTGACGCATTTATAAACATCTGTGGAACACTGTCTGATTCTCTGATCTGATGTTAAAGAATAACAACTTTCTAACGTCCTCCAAGAAAACTGCTGCTGTCATTTAGGACAAGAGGAAAATAAATTGAATTGAATATAAATGACTATAAATTCATTCTAATCTGTGTTTAAGTTATAAAACAGTACATTTTTATATAAGTTCCTGTAGCGGTCCTACAGTGAAATGTCAGTGTTGCATCATCAGTTAGAACAAGATAAATTAATAAATCAAAATTAATGTAACTAAGTATAAAATCACTAATAAAATGTGTCAAAATTGAAATGAAAAATCAACCAAAATCAAATCCAAACCCGTGGATTGACACCGGCCATATTATCTCGCCGCCGCCGCGAGGAATCTCAGTCCGCCATTTTGGGAAGCTCGCCGTGACCCCGACCCCACGGTTCATGACGACTCTCTTTGACCCCCTCCAGAGTCACTTCCTGTCCCTCGGTCAGTCCCGGGTCAGTCCGCGGTCAGGAGCGTCCCAGTTCAAAGGTCACCACTCTCCCCTGTCCACAGAGGCACTCAAAACACCATTTGTATTCATCTGTGTCATTGTTTGCTAACGGCTAATGATGGCTAACAACGGCTAACAATGCTATAAAACTCTGCTTTTGACACTATTCTGACAGATTTGAAGTACGTTAGCATTACAACGTGATGCTAACAATGCAGATACTAACGTTATGTTAGCATAAATACATTTGATTATATTAGCTAAGTACATTTCCTAATGTCAGTTATTACCGTCTCCCACGGCGTCAATACGGAAAACGATCATGGAAATACTTTAAATCAAAACCTACTTTAATTATTATAGGCTAACTGGAAAATAAAAAGTATAAAATTCTACCATTGTATTTGTATGTTGCTCCTTCTGTCATTCTTTTATTATTATTATTATTATTTTCAAGATAGAGATTTCATACTTGTTCTTTGATGCTACAGTTAGAGATTTTTTATTTTATTTTATTAGTATATTTATTGGTCATTTATCTTGTGCCGTGTGCTCCTCTTTCCTTCTGGTCTGTAAATTGTGATGCAACACTGACATTTCCCCACTGTGGGACGAAGAAGCTCTTAATCTGAATCTATTATAACTGACTAATATATTAACTAGTGTAAACGTGAGCTTTGGACAATGTTACTATAGTTTATAAACGCGTTAGCATAGTAGATATAGATGGATTTATGTAGCTTCTGG